TATACAAATCCCTCATATCTTCTCTACTTCAATTTTTCTTGAAACGAGTAAATTAACTATGTCAGTTAATTTATCTAATTTTTCTTTCAATTGAAACAACACTTACTTCATGAACCCGTTGGTTGGGTTCACTTGAGGAGTCGAATTGTTTTGAATTTGCCTCCAATGTGGAAATTAAATTCCTTAATTCTTCTGGGGTCATGTTGACGAGAGCACCTCCACTGGCGGCATCTGCTATCTTCTTTCCTACTGGAAGCATTCTTTCATATAAATATTGAAGGAGCATTTGTTTGGATAGGCTATGTTGCAAACAACTGGCACACAACTTTTTGAACACATCCCAATAATCGTTTTGTCGAATTACCAATATGTTTCTCCTCAGTTTGCCTGCTTTTGCCACTGGAAAAAAACTATCAAGGAAATCACAAGTTAAATCAGCCTATGTAGTAATGGAATTCGGTGGTAAATAAAATAACCATTCCTTATCCAGATCGACTGAGGAAAAAGGGAGATCTCTAAGCTTGATTTGATCCTTGGATACTTTTTGGGGTTTTATACTGGACATACCATGTAAATTTTCATGATATGTTTATACTGACTTTCATTTAGAAGACTGTGATAGGTAGGAAGGAGATGAATTAACCCTATCTTGAGCAAAAAAAGGGGTCTCATCGTCAGGAAAAGCAATGTAAAGTTGTTGCTAAATGGCTGGAGCTATGGCTAACTCTATGATTTTTCGATTTTCCATTGGTTCTACTTCTGGCGTGGGACCTGCGATTGGAGTACCTGGAGTGGCATCAGGTACCAATTCTTAATGGTAATGGGTGTTGGATGGTGTTTTCGAATTAGATTCCCGATCTGAGTATTGCTTGTTTTGATCTCATTGTTGTTTCTTTCGTTGAAGCGTTTGATCGTGGGTTCTACAAGCTCTTGCTTCGATCTCTGGGTCAAGTTCTACTAAATCTCTCATATTTCTTTTTGTAATAAAATCAAAATAAGAAATGATTTGTAATTTATCGAAGTCCCCGACAACGACACCAATTTGACAAGCATCGTTTTACTCGTCAAATAAAATCCTCTTCTCAAACAAATTAAAATAGAAATAAGTAGTACAGTGGAGAAAAGGGTCGATCCATGAGGACTTATAAATTCTTAATATAATTTTATGTCGATCTCAATCCAGGAAACTACAAGAAAAATAAATAAAGAAAAGGGGGTTTGGCGAGTGACAGATAAAGAAAATGAAAGTAGGAAATAGAGAATTAAAAATCAAGGTAAAATAAATGTAAGCGTAAATAAAGATTACAAATAGTAATGAGAAAATCGCCTTGAGCTAGCTTTGTTTCAATTTCATTTAATCATCTAAATGGATTTATACTTCGGGATTCATGCCAGTTACAGTCTACAAGTCTCAATCCACTGTAACTTTCTTTTCTCTTTAGTAACCAATCTTCCCAAGTAACTCTTCGAAAGTTGATCCTTGAATGAGCAAACCATAACTATTGTCGTTAGAACAAGCATAGTAAGTTCTAACAAAGCACTCATCGAGAATTGAATTTAATCTCAATTTTTTAGTGGACCACTTTTAAATGTGTTCACAAGAATTTGAATATGCCACAGGCCGATCCTTCCTCCTAAATATAAATTAAAACAACGTCCAGAACAAAGTCAACTTTTTGAAGTGAAAGCGTTTTAATTTTGAAAGTAAGGTCGATTACCAAACTAATTAAACAGGAAATTGAGAATGTAACCCGAAGGGTCTTAAGTTCTTTTCAGTTCTCACATATGGAATTGAGACATTGCTAGCTCTCGGCTAAAAAAAAATTAGCTAAGCATGATAAGAACCATACTTAGCATGTTTTATAAAAATAATAAAAAACTTAATTAAAGAAAAATGGAAATGAAATCAGAAATGAAATCTTTTATAAAAATGAAAACAAAGTAACAAAGATAAAATTAAAGATATCTAAGTCTTACCTTAAGGAGGGTATTTATAGGCTTCTAAATCCTATATATAACAATTAATTTAAAATGAAAATAATCCTAAGTCTTAAAGATAATTTAAATGTTTTTTAAATTCAGACTTGGAATTTTCTAAAATATCTCTTTAGATCTTGTTGACTAGGTTGCTTCATGAATCTTCTTCATACTGACTAGACCATCTAGAAACTGCCACGTCAGACCCATGCCGTGCCTATGTCCCTAACCATGACCAGAAAATAAAAAATACAGAATGCACCCCTTTTGCTACGAATTTTGGAAAATAGATCATTGCACGAAAATAATTTAAACACAACCCAAATCAGCAGTGATAAATCCATAAAAGGGAAGAAATTACAAGTAAAACATAACAATTTAAAATGCTCATCAAAATACAACATGAACATGACAAATAAAAATGCAAATGTAACAAAAATATTCAAGTATAACATACAACTGGATAACACACCCCTAAACCTGAGCTGTGCATTGCCCTCAATTTATATTAAAGAAATAAAATAAAATAAAACATGGGAGAAGGGAAAATAATGTGTAGAAATGACTATGTGGTTGTTTTACCAATGCTATGCATCAATATAATCTTGAATTGAAAAGGGTGTTAGGCATCAATGGTGGTTTGTAACTCTAACTGATGCTTTAAAGTAGAGGCAACATATGATGATTGTTGGTGAGACAATTGTTATGGGAATCTAACCTTAAAAGAAAAAATATCAAGAAAAAATGTTAAATAAAACTAATCTAATGTCATAAATGACTTATTGAAAGCATGTAAAAATGATTTCACATAGTGAAATGAAAGGTTGTGGTAACTTCGCCTAGATCCCAATAAAATGATTATCTTTTATGTTTGTCAATGGTTGTTGTGGTATCATCACAATGATCTAGGTCCTTTGTGCTTGAAGGATCATAACAACACTCTTGCTTGCTGGAATCAGTCATGGAGTGCATTTCTTCATTATCACTATATAAATGTATGGGGTCGACTGTTTGAATCTTCGGAGAAGGGCTTTCAATATAAGAGCCTTGTAAGACTTTTCTCAATGCCTTGGTTGTTGTTGTGTTTTTTTACACCATGGTAGCACTTTTTTTTCTTCTCAAGTGTTCATGTTGCGGCTTTGTAGTCGGTATTGAAGGTATAGACCTGTAATTGATGCTAGGATCAATGTGAAAGCTTTGGTTCCCCCTTATTTGTCTTGGTCTCTTTATGATCTAGCTCATCAAATTCCTTTTTACCGCAACATCACGAATATCAATCTCAGTGTTGTAACATTTTTCCGTATGCTCCTGCATAATTTCATCAATGTTGTTAATAGAATGACATTCAACATTATCATCACTCATAACTGGATTTTAAAAATTAAAGGTAATGTGTTCGTCATTAAGACTCATACTAAGTTTTCTCTTTTTAACATTGATTATTGCTCTACCTATAGCAAGGAAAGGTTTGCCAAATATAATCGACATTTCTTTGTCAACTTCACAATCTAGAACAATGAAATCTATAGAAAAAATAAATTTGTCAACTTGGACCAACACTTAGTCTATTGTGCCCTCAGGTTGAACAATGGATCAATTTGTAAGTTAAAGTGTCATGACATTATGCTAGGCCTCACCAATACCAAATTTCTTGAAAATAAATAGAGGCATTAGGTTAATTATGTAACCTAAAGCTACCTCAAGCCTCACAATTATTGAAACCAATAACACAAGGGATAATAAAACTCCCTAGATCTTTTAATTTTGGTGGCAATATACTCACCGTCATAAAACTGAACCCTTCTGTAAGTGCAATAATTTTGAATTCACCAAATGTTCACTTCTTCGAAAGTACCTCCTTCATGACCTTGATGTAGTTCGGATTTAGCTCCAATGCATCAATAAATGGAATGTTGATTGTTAATTATCTCATGACTTTGATGAAGTTTTTGAATTACTGGTTCTCTTTGGTGTTCTCAAATATTTGGGGAAACGATAGTGAAGGTCTTGGGTTCAATTATCTCAACATCGGTGGTGGCATAACAAAAAGCAACGCTGTTTGCATTGCTGCTAGCGTTGTCCCAAAATTACTACATTGTTCTGTCTCCCTTACTGTAACATCAACAGTGGATTCAAGGTCCACCTCCATTTCTTTGCCTTTATCTTGATATCTAGGTCTATCATCATCTTTCTTCTTAGGTTCCTCAGTAGGCTTCCAAATATGGAGATTGTTTCTCGTTGTGATGGCTTTGCAATGCTCGTAGTAATGAGATTTCCCTTATGGCTTTGGAACTTCGGTGTTACTAGGAATAATTCCTTGTTGTCTACTGCTCAGTGCACTTTCAAATTGTCCAACCGGACTTTCTAAAGCTATTAATAATGATGTTTGACTTGCCATGCACTCCTTCATTAAAGCTTTAAGAGAAGTAAGATTGGAAGCTTGACTAGAATGTTATCCTTGATAATTTTGACGTGATCGTGTGTCCGATGTTGAGGCATTGACTGTTGTTGATTATAATACCGCGGCTAAATATAATGTTGCTTTTGTGAATTTGCAACATTTTGGCTCCTCCAAGATAAATTGGGATGGTTACAGAATTTGGCATTGTAACTATTGCCATAGAAATTCAGGATGGTTCCTCACATAGTAGACAAATTCAGGATTTTGGGGGCATTACTCTTAGCTATGATCATCTCCACATTAACCATATGAGAGAAGGGATGATGTCTTTACCTCGTACATACCCCTCGACTTTTGTAACTTCTTCACCATATCCGTCAATGCTCTGATTTGGGAAGCCATGTAATGGAAATCATCAAAATCCATTGTTGCAGCATTGCGTTTGCCAAAGATGTTCCTCGTATTGTGGTATTGATAATCATTGTTTGATATTATTTCCAGAATATCATAGGCCTAATTATATGTCTTCTCCAGCAACGTTTCGTTTGCTGAAGCATCCACCACCATTCGAGTGTGAATGTTTAACCCTGTATAGAACATTTCCATTTACTTCCAATGTGGGAATTCATGCATTGGAAATTTATGCAGCAAATCTTTGAATCTCTCCCATGCCTCAAACAAATTCTCATCTTATAATTGATTAAAAGATGTCAAGTCATTTCGCAACTTTGCATTCATATTTGGTGGATTGAATTGCAACAAAAACTTTTGTTTAACCCAACAAAAACATGTACCATACTCAATGTTGTACAATGTGGGGATATACAATAAAAATCATGCATGCTATTCTATTGTATGTGTTTTGGAGATCAAAATATCTGTACTCCTGTTTTCTATGGTTGCCTAATGAAAATTTACTACTCTCCATTAATTATCAAATAATCATATTTATTTTATTAAGATTAAATTATGAGCCACCTTAATCGCATGATCCCACCTCGGTCGAAGTTCTCAAAAACATTTGCGCGTATATTGTATCGAGTTACAGTAAAGATTTTCCCAAGCACACCTTTTTAGTTATTCAATAGTTAGAAATTGAGTGAATTATAAGTGTATAATGAGATTTTAAGCCCACAAGGAAAGAAACTAGACCGAAGGAGTATTTCATTGAATATGCTGAAAGGCCCAAATGAAGTAGATTTTGTTGTCCATCTCATTGAACTAGAATTATGGAATAAATTAATACAAAATTTCTTCAGAATGACTCAATTAGTGGGAGGACTCTATCTTGGGACACGATTCTCGTAGGTTAACCTTCCTCTAAAATTCAGGTGTGTTCATTTTTCGGTTTTAATCGAATTAATCGATTGAGTTAAATTAGTTTGATTTGTTTGGTCAGTCATCGAATTAGTTCGGTGGGATAACGGTTAATGTTTTTTTCAATATTCGGTTAACAGTTAATTCGGTTAAAAATCAATTAATTAACCAGAATTATTAAATATATTAAATACATATTTTAAACTCAAAACCATTAAGAATTAAGACCCAATTATTTTTTAACCACACTAGACTCATTAAATTATAAATACCTAATTAAATTTTAACCCAAATTAAAAAAAAATTCTATTATATTAAAATTAATTTAATTAAAAAATTCGGTTAACCGATCGAAATAACCGAACTTTATTCGGTTAGGTTAATATTTTCAAAAAAAAGTTCGGTTCGATTAACGGTTAAAAAAAGTTCGATTAATTCGGTTAATGATAATTTGGTTCAGTCGGCCACCTTTTTAACCGATTGAACACTCCTAGTTAAAGTGAAAGACCGTACATTAAACTCCTTAAGCATAACCATGTATTCAGCAACTAATCAAGAAAATCTACAAACCGATGAAAACACTCCAATAAATCAAGTTATTTAAGAAAGTTAAAAAATAAATTGAACAACATGATCCATAAGTTCAATATTGAAATCTACTAAAGAAAATCAACAATTCCTAATGATTTTATTGTGTATCTATAACACCCATCTCCCGTATACCTTTATGTATACATGCTACATGTGTCACATCACTTTTTAAAATAATTTCCAATTTAAAAATCTGTACAATTTTGTTTAATTTTTTCAAACCATTATAATTTAGTTATAATTAAAAATATGAATTAAACTTAAATAAACAAGTAACAGAGATGTTTCACATTTCACAGTTTTAGAGTAGTTTAATTCAAAAGCTTTTCAAAGCATTACTACTAAACCTATTACATGCCGACTACAATATATCAAAAGTAGACAAGTATGTCATACTGTTACTGATGAGGCGACTTTGACTTGATATCTGATGATCTCCTTACTCAGCTTGTATTCAACCTACGCATGAAAAACACACACGTTAAGTATTACTTAGTGAGGCATACTAAATCATAAGCAACTTATAAACATAAACATAGGGTAACATTTCTATTATCGAGCAACTCTGTAAACCTCATTATAACTCTTATAACTTTGCACCATTAGTGCTAATATGGTTATTACTCACTTTCTATTCATGTTCATTTATTAGAATGCACAAGTAGTGCCTATACGGTAATTCATCAACTCATGCTGAATTCTATGGTTTTGTACACATAGTGCTTGTACAATTATTCATCAACTCATGATGAATTCCGTGGTTTTGCACACATATTGCCTGCACGACTATTCATCAACTCATGAGGAATTCTGTGGTTTTTCACACATAGTTCATGTACGGCTATTCATCAACTCATGATGAATTCCGTGGTTATGCACACATAGTGCATGTAGTACACTTAGTACTGATATACCATTACAACATATGTTTTAACAAAATTTATATATAATTCCTAATGAACATGATAAATGTACTCACTTGGCTTCCCCGCTATGTACCCAAAACGTAAGGCTGATTACTCTGGTACTTTGCCTTCTCCCTTAGTTTTACTTATCCCAGGAGCTTCGTTTTGATTTACTCAATCATTAATTAAAACATGTACCATACTCAATGTTAGTATATTTTTTAACCAATATACTTAAACAATACTTAAAAGGACTTATCATTTACTTTCTATAACAATATCAACCTATTTTAAACATTTCTGGCTCCATAGTATTGATACTACTACCATGGTATCGATACTACTATACTATAGTACCGATACTTTCTTATGGTATCGATACCATTTTTGCATTTTGTTTCGAAATGGTATCGATACCTTCCCTTCGGTATCGATATTTCCCCTTCGATATCGATATTGATTCAATCAATATCGATACTACTTAGCAATTTCATCCTATTTCTAGCCTGTAGTATAAGTACTGTTCAATCAATACTGATACCCGTACCCAGAATTTTCAATTTCTAACCCGATTCTCACCCCAAATAGAGTTAAATTTTGTTATATAAACACCATATAATTCTATTAAACTCTTCTTTAACTATCTATACTAGCATTCCTTCATTTAGCCTCTTAAAACATCTAAAATCTTCTAAGAACAATCAATTCTAAGAATCACACCACTTTTCTTAATGTGTTCTTAATCTAATCCAATGCTTCTAATCTTTCATTTACCTCTTTGACAAGTCAAATCTACCAGTAAACATCCATAAACACTCAGATTTTAACATATCACTCAAAAACCCATTTTCTTTAATCTCTATTATCTCATCCATAAATTAATTTTGACCCCTTTAAATCATTCCTTTAGTTTCTAACATACTCAATGCTTCAAAATCCAACAAAAAAATGAAGGAATAAACTAGTAAATTGAAAAATCACCTTTGAGCTATGGAGGAGAGTATGCATGGGAAAAAAAGAAGAATGATAGGAGTTGACCAAATTTACTTCCCTTTTCCCCTTACTCTAACTTTAATACCTTAAAAGAAATGAATTTTTAATTCATCTAACTCCAATTGACCAAAATGTCCTTTTTAATCCTCCATTACTACAATTTAGTTAAAACTATTCTTCCCAATTCATTTTGGGACATTACAATTCTCCCCTTAAGGAAATTCATCCTCGAATTTAAAGAAGTACCTGAATCGAAGAGATGTGGAAACTGCTTTTTCATATCCTCATCTCTCTCCCAAGTAGCTTCTTCCACCTTATGATTTTTCCAAAGCACTTTGACCAATGAAATCCTTTTATTACGTAATTCCTTGGTTTCCCTAGCCAAGATCCATACTGGTTCTTCCTCATAAGTAAAATCTTGCCGGATCTTTATTTCTTCAGGAATGATAACATACGAGGGATATGATATGTACCTCCTAAGCATTGATACATGAAAAACATTGTGGATTTTGTCCATATCCGGAGGCAAAGCTAACTGATACGCTACAGATCCAACCTTTTTTAATATCTCTTAGGGTCCAATGAACCTCAGACTCAATTTTCCTTTTCTCCCAAAACGTAACACCATTTTCCAAGGTGATACTTTAAAAAAATACTTTGTCTCCCTCTTGGTATTCTATTTCTTTTCTTTTCAAATCCGCATAGGACTTCTATCGATCTGAGGCTATCTTTATATTGCTCTGGATAATCTTTACTTTATCCTCTATATCTTTCATCAAATCTGGGCCAACCAAATCCCGATCTTTCAATTCAAACCAATTTAATGATGTTCTACATTTTCTCCCATATAGAGCTTCATATAGGGCCATCTTAATACTAGGTTGATAACTATTATTATATGCAAATTCTACTAAAGGCAAATACATTTCCCACGATCCCTTAAATTCAATCACACATGCCCTAAGCATATCCTCCAGTATCTGAACAGCTCGCTCTGACTGCCCATCTATCTAAGGATGAAAAGTTGTACTAAATTTCAATCGAGTACCCAATGCCTCATGCAAAGACTTCCATAATCTTGAAGTAAACCTGGGGTCATGATCGGACAGTATCGATATCGGTACTCCATGCAATCTAACTATCTATTTTATATACAGCTCAGCATACTTATTTATTGAGTAATCTACTCAAACTGGAAAAAAATGAGCTGTCTTGGTCAATTTGTCTATTATTACCCAGATCGAGTCCTTTTTACTCGGCGACAACGGTAGCCCTAAAAAAATCCATTGTGACTTGATCCCACTTCCACTCAGGAATGGATATTGGCTGTAGTAACCTGGATGACACTTGGTGTTCAGCTTTCACTTGCTGACATATCAAACATTTTGCAGCAAACTCTGTGACAGCGCTTTTCATGTCAGGCCACCAATAACGACTTTTCAAATCCTGATACATCATATTTCCACTTGGGTGCATCGTCAGAGGGCTAAAATATGCCTCACCCAGTATATCTTTCCTCAATTTCATCATCATCAGGAATGTATAGTCTTCCACGATAATATAAGCATCCAATATCCCTAATTTTGAAATCTTTGGCTTCTTATTTTTCAACTTGCGCCAATCTCATTAAGCATTTCTTATCTCTACCTTGCAGCTCTTTAACCCGATCCAAAAACACAGGCCTTAACCTTAATTTAGCAATCAAATCACCATCTTCTTTTAAATACATACGTTCATCTAAAGCCTTTAAAGTTGTTAAAGTCTTTCGACTGAGCGCATATGCTACCACATTAGCCTTTCCCGGATGATAGTCAATAACTAAATTATAATCCTTTAGGAGTTCAATCCATCTTCTATGCCTTAGGTTCAACTCTTTCTGAGTTAACAAATACTTTAGACTTTTATGGTGCATGAAAACATGG